AAATGTAGTTGGGCCGAGCCCTTGCTATGAAATCGTGGCATGATGAACTATATAAGTAGTCGTGACTTGGGGTCACGAGAAATAGATATGGTGAATTCTAAATGAATATGGGCCCACGGGCCGAATACTTGACTTTATATAAAGTAAGTATATTTTTAAAACGTGGTAACCAGGGATTATGGCCTATAATACAATATCACCCTAGATTGAGGGTCTTAGAAATTGAAACATCGATTATATTAAGTGTAGTTGTCATTGTATTTTTCAAATGCTTCAAAGTACTGACCTCCCCTTCACGGGGGAGGCCACATCACAGTTTCAGGTAGAACTTGAAGGTTGCTACCATCGCCCGTTGCTTCAGGAGAATCAAGGAGAGAAGACGTGGTTCGTGCTTCCTCTGTTTTTGTTTCAAAAACAATTACATTAATGATCATGGATATTATTTTCTAAATGATTATTTGGGGGCTTGTATGCCTAAGATTTGCCAAGTGTGGCTTGAACTCTTGAACTAATGTTTCCGCTGTTTTAATAAATATTTTACATTATGTTTGTTTATAGATGTACTATGCGTGAATGATATTCAAGACGCCTTGTATAGTATGGATGTGTTGGACTGCGGTTGACTATTCATACTGTACGGCGGGTTGTTGACGTGTCCGGGTAGGTCCGGGGCGTGACACAACACATTATTAACGGCTTTAGGGGACGGACAAGGCAACAATTGCATCCCTAAGTGGGGGCGAATTCCTTCCACGCATCAATGGCCGCCCGACCAAGAGGAGGGGGGGGGGGGGAACCTAGTATCTGGGGCAGCTGAGATCGTGGGCTCGGTGCGAGGCCTCTTACCTGATTTCTCTTTCCCCGTGCCCGCTCGACAGGGGATTGCAACGGAGATACGCGGGACGTCCTGGGCGACGCCAGAATCAGCAACTTACCCTTCCGAGGTGGGCTCAGGTGCGGCTGAGGCAACGGGTTTCTCAACATCCTTCTTATGTTTTTCAGCCTGGGAGGCCGCGAAGGAGTTGGCCCCTGAGCTTTGGGCTGACTGGCATGCAACCGCCTTCTCCTTAGCAGCGCAGGCATTGGCATTCTTGGCCGCCCTCTCTAGCTTCAGCGCGTCGAGATCCATCCGTTTTTTAGTAGGGGGAGGACATGAAACAAAAGAATAAAATTTTAGGACCGGGCGGTATGGATCCAAGAAGGACGCTTACCTTGCAGGACGGGACCGCCCGAGATCTCGATGTGGTCCAGGAGGGGGAAGTTATCCATCCCAGAGAAATGGGTAGTACATGTTCCCGCATCGGCAAGTGCCCCAAAAGTGAGGTAAGGCTCTAAACGTTCGAAGCCCCTCTCTTTTACTTTGTTGATTGCCTCCTCCAGTTCATCAGTAAGGTGCGGCGGCCCTATCTTCGGTGGATACCCGTTCCACCGCACAGGGAGCTGACCATCGTGAAAGCGGAGGAAGAAAAAACGATAATTCCAAACATGGATGGACGTAGGGGCTCCGTGGAACAGTCTCCGCCTAGGTCGAGCACTGATATTCAGGAATCCATCTGAGTTCTGAGGAGACACCTTAAAGAACTTGTGAAACAGATTTAGGTTCAAATCTACATCCCTATATGTGCATCGACGATGAAAGCTGAGACAAACCGGAAGGAGTTCGGCATGAACCGAGCAGGGGCGACCTGGTACCGGTGAAAGAGGTCGAGGTAGAACGGGTGAAGGGGGAACCGCAACTCGGTCTTTACTGAATCCAAATGTACCATCAACATACCCGATCGCCTCTTCAGTGGATGATCTGCCCATGTAGGCTGTAGACGATCGGTTGTGGAGGTACAATCGCATCTCTCGCAGAGCCTTATCTAAGAAGAACTGTTCCTAGCCCTGGGCATTCAACAATGGTACCACATGTCGAGGTATATCCCTCAGATTGCCTCAGTAAAAAACCGTTAGATCGTCCCCGGAGAAGGCCTCCTCGTCGGAATCATAGCCTTTCGATTGTGCCTCAGCGGCATCCCCATGCACACCTTCAGGGCCAGGATCATTACCGACCGGCACAGTGGTCCCTTCACCATTCCCACCAGCCGAGGTTGAAGAGGTAGTGTTATAGGAGGTACCAGTTTCCCCCGAGGAATGGGATTCCGAGTCAGACTCGACATGCAAACGAAAATCCCCTGATGGATCCGATGGGGTCGACATCAAGAAACCAAAGATTAATTGAAGAGGCTGGGAAGGGGAATTACCTTGGAAAAACTTGGAGTCGAGAAAGGGTGACCGGGAAATCCGAGCGGAAGATCTGCAAGCACTTGAGAGCGGAAGAACAAGAATTTTAAAACCCTTGACTATTCAAGGGATCTGGCCGGTATTTATAAGGGGATCCCCACCCAGCAAACTAGTAAAAATGCTACGCGTGGCGAGGAGCCTGTCCCAGGACACGTGTCGCACGGAGCTCAACAGACGCGTTATGATTACCTTTGCATCGGAAGTTGATGCGGCCCAATGAGCTGTCACATCACATCAGGACTGTCAGGGAGGCTCCGCTCGGGGGAACTCTATACTTCTTCATGTCCCACGCACGCTCGAAACATCGGAAATGGGGGGCATGTGTTGGGTTAATAGGCCCGATAGTGGATCAGCCCATTTAGTGATCGAACGGTTCGGTAAAGGTATCGGTTGGACGCACGTCCAGACACCTAGACGCTCGGCCTCAGTGGCCTTGGCCCAACAAGGTCCGAATGACATTCTATGGCCTCCGACAAAACGTCTCACAAGAGCCGAGCGGAGGCCCTCCCTTGTGCTCAGTCAGAGCCATGATCCAAGAACCGGGGGACACTCATCCAGACCCCTCGGCGGGAAACCATGATATTGGTTGGAAACACATTTAATGCAGTAGATATGGTGGTTGGGAAGCTAGCCACTCATAAATAGTATAAATAGTAGCATTTATTTCATTGTAAAAGGTTGCGAACTTATACCACCTAGCAATAACAATCTCCACAATCTTCAGCCCACAGTGGTTTGGTTTGTAGTAGAGTATGCTGTAACAGTCCTTATTCGGAGTAATAAAACACAACCCACTTACTGGATTAACTTATTGCTTGCCCATTATTGTTTGAGCTTACTCACCATTCATAATCCACCAAATACTCCACTCGAAATCCAAAGGAACATATTGTGTCTCTGGGTTGAAGGAATAAACCTCAACAACATTCAATCAACGAAAGTCCCCGAGTCAATGTGGGACAAAAAGACAGTTGAAAAAGCAATTTAATCAAACACTTTTATTAAGTGATTGATCTAGTCAAAGACCAAATATAGTCAAATTAGCCAAAAAATGGATGATGAGCTCCTAACCAAACACCCCCTTATACTTTTGTAATTTAGAAACTCTCAGTATGCAAAAATTACAAACTACCACCTTATCAAAAAAGCGTTATACCTAAATTTCAGTTCAAAGAAATACGGTCTCGATAAATTATAATGCATAACTCTCAAGAGAAATCACGAGCTCTAACTCGAGCTTGGACGAGCTAAACAATTCGGGCTTGAACTTGAGCAGAGCTCGATTCGAGCTTGGTTCGAGCTTGGATTGAATTTTGTAAATTGACTTTTATAAGTTTGAGTTTGAATGAGATGCTCAAACTTGAGCTTAAATCCGAACTAATAATAAGATTCCTATTTTCTAATTTATTAAAATTACATTTATACATAGAAATAATAAAAAAATTATCCAATATTTGATTATTTATGCGTATTTTCCTATTCTCTCCTTTGCTCACATTTTTACTTCGTATTTTAGTATCATTTAAATTTTGAAATATACAAACAAAGAAACACCAATAAATAAATATGGAGTATTATATAGAAAAAATTCCATTTTTGGTCCCGTGACTATTACACCACTTCTACATTTAGTCCTTTACTTTCAGATTGTCCACATTTAGTCCGTGATCATTATCCCCTCACCACCCTTCGTCATTCCAACCAATATTCCGGCAAATTTAGCCCACTTATCAGCCCCAGAATCAGTCTTTGCATTAAATTTTATATAAGGTTGGGTTTTTCATATTAGTCTTTGCATTAAATTTGGTTTTTCATACCTAAAATCTGCATCAAATTTGCCGGAATGTTGGCCGGAAGGACGAGGGGTGGTGACGGGATAATGGTCACAGACTAAATGTGGACAATCTGAAAGTAAGAGACTAAATGTGGAAGTGGTATAATCGTCACAGGACCAACAGTGGAATATTTTCTATTATATATATACATATAAATCAATATATAATCATATACTATGTACTTTGTACGTAATAATTTTAATTTATTTATTTATTTATTTATTTATTTATTTATTTATTATATGCTCGCGAGCTCACGAGCTCAAATAGGATTTTTTTAGCTCAAATTCGATTTCAGGTTGGAACATCATATTGAGCACAAATTTATACTCCAAGCACAAACTTATACTCCCTGTGTTCCAATATCATTTTTAAACTTTCATTTTTCGTTCGTTCCAAAATTATCTCATATTTTTTTTGGGAAAAAATTTGTGATTCACGGTATTTCCTACACATTCATACACATTTCTTTTTTCTCTGCATGACTCTCCACCACTCAATACCCAGTATCTTAATCGACGTGTCATTTGTTCTTTAGGAGATAAATGGACGAAAGAAGTAAAAATTATTCAAGCTCGACTCATTTGCTTAATGAGTCGGCTCGAACTCAACTTGAGTTCAAATCTATGTTTAAAAAACCAGACCGGGGAGCGATCCAGACACATGACTAGGTCACGAGTCAACCCAGACCCGGTGGGTCAACATGATCAACGCTGGAAAACCGGTCAACGATTATACATGTATATAATACTCGTAATAAACATATACTGGAGTAATTATATGGGGAGTACTAATTTTTGCAAAAAAGAACAGCTGTCATATGGGCACACGATGATCGAAATAAAGTAACGGTCGAAATAACCCTGGGAACGAAACGAGCCAGTCCGTTAGTAAAAATTCCCCAATCTCTCTCTCTCTCTTTCCCAACCACCACCGTCACACAAGTCTCCATCCAATCTCTCTCTACACCAACGCGTTCCGGACTGCCTCCACAATCCTCTCTCTCTCTCTCTCTCTCTCTCTCTCTCTCTCTCTCTCTCTCTCGTGAAATCGAACGGCCAGAATCCGCACAAGAACACCAACAAAAACAATCACCTTCCTCACGGAAAATCTAATCGCTCTTCCTCTTATATACGCCAAGAACTGACATATCTATATATATACCGCTATTCGTTGCTTGTCGGAATTACTGTTGGCTAGGGTTAGGGTCCGGCTTCGGTATCGCGGCGGCGGTGATTTAGGAGAAGATGCCCCGCGGCAGGGAATACCTAGCATTTATTCGGCGCGTAGATTTCCACTTTTGAAATTATTGACAAGTCCTCCTTTTTCGAGGGAATTATGAAACCGCCCCTGCCCTCTGAACCTGGGATGGATTTCTACACGCAGGCTTGCAAGGCGCTGTGCAAGCGCTCCTCTTTTTATTCTGAGGATTCACAGACAGCTACTGCGCCTCCTACACTGCCCAGAGGACTGGCTCAGCTGCTATCTAAGCACTCAGACAGCCGGAAGAGGAACAAGAGGACCCATACTGGTTCTGAAACGAAGTTTTCTTCGCGGCAAGAAAAGTCTCGCGCCTCGGGGGTCTGGGCTGAAATGGAGGACTACTTTCGTGAAGTAGACGTGGATGATATTGAAAGACTCCGTGAACTTTCTTCTGTACTACCTTCTAAGAGCGAGAAGTTCTTTTCATTACTCTCACTTTATGGAGCGGGTAATAATGTAGATACAGGTGTAAATATTCCGTATGCAGTTGCTTCAACTAGTGGGGCATCCAATGAAGAACGGCACGCTCAAGAAGAAAATGAGCAGCAACAAATGAATGTTGATAGCATAGGAGCTGCGGCATTGTCTACAGCAGCAATAAAGTTAGAGAAGGCCCGTCCTACTTTTAGTGGCATGGAGTGGCTTTTAGGTTCTAGGACAAAGATATATCTCACCACAGAGAGGCCTAACAAGAAAAGGAAGCTATTGGGTGGGGATGCTGGGTTAGAAAAGCTTCTTGTTGCTCATCCAGTGGAAGGGTCAGCTTCTCTGTGTCACTATTGCAGTGTTGGTGACATGGGTGATACTTTGAACCGGTTGATTGTTTGCGGTTCATGTAGCATGGCAGTTCATCAGAGATGTTACGGGGTGCAGGATGATGTTGATGGATCTTGGATGTGCTCCTGGTGCAAGACAAAGAATCAAATGATAAGTAATGAGAAGCAATGCCTTTTGTGTCCAAGGAAAGGCGGAGCACTGAAACCTTCTAGAAAAAGGGGTCAGGGATGTCAAGAGCAGTCTGCGCTCAAGTTTGCTCACCTGTTTTGCTGTCAGTGGATGCCAGAGGTCTATGTCGAGAATACGAGGATGATGGAACCTGTAGTGAACATTGAAGGCATAAAAGAAACTCGAAGAAAGTTAATTTGTTATTTGTGTAAGGTGAAATATGGGGCTTGTGTGCGGTGTAGTAATGGTATGCCTTGCTACTTTTTTACTTCAAAACTTGCATATCTTTGTTGATTTTTATTCAATTAATTGTCATTTTGTTAATCATTCAATGCGCTAGTCACCTGTATATCATCTCTGCAATTCAAGCACCTATGTAATATATGGCTTTTGTTGATGTTTTATCTTAGATCATATGGTTGCTTAGTATTTTAAATCACTAAGTGGCTAGATGGGAATTGTATTCAGTCCAAATAGAATTTGAATGAATTAACATGTGTACATGAGCTTGCTCGAATCATAAATATATCAGCCCATTTCCTCAGCTCAGAATTTCTGCCTTCTTTTTTGTACCAAAAATGGTATGACACCAGCGTTATAAAAAAAGAGTTTCTGACATCTTCTTAATTTTCACCGGAAAGGGTTTAGCAGTTCATTTTGAGAATTCATCTTACCAGAGGACTAGTTGGTTCTTCTTTCCAGCCGCGTTCCTTCTCTGTATTTATATCATCATTTTTGTCTGTATGGTTACTAGTAACCAGCCGTTTAGTTGCATCATATAAGTAAGTTGGAGGAAGGTTGTGTGCTAAATTCAACAGATACTGCCAGTTTATGATGACTGTGAGTGGATACAGCGATCCACATCAGTGGTCTCGTGTGACATATTAGATGACGACAGTGCAATGAAACCCGTCGTTGCATGAAAAGCATATTGAGGGCACACTATTTATGTCTAATTCCATCATAGCAATGCTCATCTCAACCTTTTACCGTTCATCTTAGTCACTATTACTAATTTCTTCAATTTAATCTATCTTTAGCCCTTATTAAAAGAGTAATGATCAAGGACAAATGTCAAGTATGTTAGGTGATGGCCTTTGTGGGCCTTGTGGCTAGTTGACTCTTGACTGGACGGCCACATTTTTACAAAACGAGCATGAACTGAAAAGCCCATCACATGTCACCCTTAAAAACATTACAAGTATCATATATTTTTATAATAATTAATCATCATTTATTTTTCGGGCTTCCATCCCTCTCTCCATGTGATTATCGGGTGCATTAAGAGGCTCTTGTTCTTACTTTATCCCTAACCCAGTGACAGATCCTCAGACTTGTGAGAGCATCCATGGTCAACTGCTTCTTGAGCTTGTAATTTAATTCGACATATCAACATGTTTCAAATGAATATGCTCTATGGGCAACATATTTTGTCACATTGTATAGTTTTAGGGTAAAAAGTTGTCTGATGTAAAAATTAATGATTAGTTTTTTGTTTTTCAATTGGAAAGAAATGCCTTTTATGTAATAAATAGTGTTAAACTGTTAAGTAATTTTGTGCTGCTGATGGTGGTGGTGGAAATTGACATGACAACCATGTTAGTGAACCCGTGTGAGTGCTACTTAACAAACTAACAATGCTTTAAGATTTTAAATAAAGGCCTCATTATGATTTTGTAGGGATAAAATTGAACAATTTAGTTACACAAGCCATAAAATAAACAGCTCCATAATTGCAAAGAGCCAAAGACTAATCAAGCATACTCGAGACTCATATTTTTTGTTTAAACATAATTTTGAATATCTCCTTTGCTGTCTTGGACTCTTGGTCCATAAGGCCATGAATTATTGTGTTCTATCAAATTTGTGCTGCTCTATATTTCATTATTTTACCCGCTTTCTCCTATCCCATCCAAAGAAAACTTAATCTATAAAAACCAAAGAAAAGTGATGTATTCGGGTTAGAGTTGCAGTAACAGAGTTAAACTACTATATATTTCATCAGGCTTTGTTGGCATTTTCATCATTTACTCTTTCATTTCATGGCTAGGAGCTTGCAGAACATCTTTTCATCCTATATGTGCAAGGGAGGCACGACACAGAATGGAGATATGGGGAAAACTTGGTTGTGATGATGTGAGCCCTTATTGTTAAATTGGAGCATTTCCATTGCAACTTTCACATAGTCCTCTTTCTTTTAGAATTTTACAGTAGTGCAATATGCCGTATTTCTTATCGCAAAAAATATTATTTCTGATTCGCATTCCAACCGTTTAGGTGGAGTTGCGTGCATTTTGCTCGAAGCATTCTGATGTCCACAACAATGGTAAGAGTGAGCAAAATGGCGAAATATCTGCACATGTGCCCGGTGTATCTTGTTCCAGTGATCCCAATCAGATGATTGAATCAACAGAAAATAAGCCTCAGAAGTTAAAATTTAGCCAACATAATGGTGAAAATGGGTCAAGTGGAATCATGGGTGCAAATTTGGATCAAGATAAATTGGATTGTGACGCCTCTCATGAAGAAAGGCTGTTGGTTAGTGTATCAAATTCCAAATGTCAAACTGCCCACGATGATACATTGCACCATATTAATAAGGATTTGTTGGAAATAGGCATAAATGAAGATGGTAGTGCCACTGATCCCTCGAGTGTTATCATATTATTGAAGAAGGTATAATGTGAATAATTCTTGCACTCGTGATGCTATATTTTAAGAATTTATTGTGTGGCTTCAAACACTTAAACTACTATTTGGAATTGGTGTTATTTTTTTTGCAGCTAATCGAACAGGGAATAGTTGACGTTGGTTATCTAGCTTCTGAGATGGGTGTTTCCTCTGATTCATTGGCCTCAATGCTCAATGTATAGTTCTGTAGTTAACTTTGCTAGAATGTGACTTAGCCTTAGATAAACTTATGCCTTGTTAATTTGATTTCATTGGTGAAATTAGTTTTAAGCTGCATATTTTCCTTTAACCTTTTTTTGCAGGACAATTGCATGGTCAATGAGGTACATTGCAAAATAGTTAAGTGGCTTAGGACTCGTCCCACCACGGGGAATGTGCAGAAAACTTTGAGAGTTAAAATCAAACCAACGAAGGGCACAAAGATTGAGGGTGGTGTAGCCGATAACACTGATTCTGCTATATTAACAGAGCCTGAGATTTCTGCTACCATTCCTGTTAAGTCTGTTCCACCTCACAGACGAACCAAAAACAATATTAGGACTGTTAAGGACGACATGATGTTGGATGCAGTCAAAACTCATCCGCTTGGTGTCACAGATTCAACTTTGACCAAGGACCCTCTTTGTTCTAGCACTCAGAACGTATGAAACTTTTGATGGTTTGCATAAATTTGTGATTGTGTTTCAAGCTCATTATATAAAAATGTTTCTTTTATATGCCTCATAACTCATAAGTGTGCTGGACTTTTCAATGATTTCTGATTGAGGAGTTACATTTTTGCATGTTCATGGATGTGTTACCACTGACTACATTAAATGATCAAATGATTGTAAGTGGTTAGAGTGAATAAATTTCGTTAGCTGGTCCAAGGTGTGCCAAGGTTTTGGATTTTTCTGGAAAATGTGGCCAATTTGCATTTAGAATAAATGAGAACTCTTTTGTTTACCTTTATCAAAATAATGTATTTCTTCTCTTTTTCTCAAGTATTGCTATTTGTTTATGCTGTACTCAAACATCTTCAGCTTAGTGGTATCCGCCCAATCCTGTTTTTTTTATTTCTTCCTTGGTTTGCTACAATTTGTCATTAAGTATTACCCTCTTTCCACTTTTAATCTCCGCGCTTTACTTTTTGGTTCATACCTAAATAATCTTCCTTTTATCTTTTAAGGGAAGAACTGTGGTTGATATTTTTTTAATTCTAAATAAAATCTAACCATTACTTCAGCACTGTGCAAAGTCAAGTATAGAGAAATAGGTATGGATGGAGTATTAAGGGTTGATTTTTTCATATTACAGTGCTGCCCGAATGTGTTGTCTTGCATTGTTAATTGCTAACACCACCTGGTAGATTCTTTTTGTATTAAAGCATGAGTCCTTACGTGCTCTTGAAGAGAGTGTCGTCCTCTGTTTATTGTATTTCACTACACCTGAAGATCTGCCGCGTTTTGTGTGACTTTCTAATTGTTTATTATGTCTTTCAAAGCTCATTACGTTTTGCAATCCTGCTTTAATGCAGATAGCTATTGACTGCGTCTCATCTCATGATACCGCGGCCAACAAGCCACACAAAGATGAAGGTGTGCTTATTACATTAGTCATTTAATCTGGATGTGAGTGAGGTGCTCTCTCATTATCTGCATCACTTGTGAATGTTATACATCATTTAGCCTGAAATAATTTTTTAGTGTAGTGAAACACAACTCTACAAGTTAACATATTTTTACAACACCTTTTCCTTCATTTATCATCATCATCATCATTAATACCAATCATCTCCATAATCCTAATTATGTCGAGGCCATTGGCATAAATTTGTTGCCTAAGTAAGTTTTTGTAACTATATATTCATCCAAAGAGCATAGTGGTTAAATGTTATCCCGGATGCCCATCTAGTCTCAACCGTGTTATAAAGTATTGATGATGTAAAGTTCCAGAACCCTCATTATAATGAGATGGTAATGATTAGAGATAGACAAATAGCCGTGCCTATGACTGGGATTTATAATGTGAAATCAATTTGTACACCATGAATATTATTTGCTTTGCGTTTAATGATGTTCTACATTTTGTATCATCATATGCATTTCCAAAAGGCCTAAAAATTTAACATCTAGGAGAACTATTCATTTCTTTATATGTTTTCTTCACCATTGTTGATGTTAGCTGTTACCGTGCTTTTGTTATGTTTATATTGTTATTGCAATCTTGTGCTTGAATTGAATATACTGTATGGGTTAAAAAACCTCCAATTGGTATCTCCATTTCCCATTTCTTTGAGTTTAGCTGCACAACTGATGATTTTCTATCTCATTTGTTGATATAAATAAACGGGTCTTCTCCATCTAATTGGTTACTAATGCTGGAAATGGGTACATGTATGATACCCGTTTTAAAAAAGATTAATTTTTTATAAACCTTTTTCATTCCATCCTTTGTTTACTTTTAGCATCTCAATTATTTATCATCACAATTATTTATGCTGCTACGAATTTCATTTTTTAGCAAGTTACTTGGTCACTGATGCTTGAGTTTAATGCACCCCTTTATGGATGCGTTTTAACCGGCGGTTAGAAGTGATATTTTTATGTGTTATGCATTGAATTTGGCATTGAATTTGGCATTGAATTGGTCACTGATGTTTTTCTGTAGTAGGAAAATCCGAAAATCATATACCTATTTCATTGATTATGGCATTGAATTTTTTTGCTCAATCTCCCCTTGTTAATTTGTAATTTCGGCAGTTGTACAATCTGCTGTTCTGGTCGATGTGCAACCTAATGAGTGTGCAGCTATGGATCTAAGTGCTGTCCTGAATGTTGATGCAAGGATGCCAAGTTCTATTACTATGAACAGTGCAGCTGATGGCATGTGAGTTTTTGACATAAATATATTATTCCGTAGTTTAAATTTGTTTTACTAGACACTTTACTATGTTGTTGATGTTCATGCAGAAAATTGAAAAAACGCGGACCTTACATTCACCCGCTCATTGTAAAAAAATTAAATGACATGGGGGAGAGAATCATTGCAGAGAGTGCTGCACATGAATATGATGGTAAGAAGTAAGAACATGCTTGAAATAGTTTACTGTTTTGAGCATTAGAAAGGATAGCAGACATGTATGTAATGCACTAATGCTTAGTTGTCTACTTGTCTATGTTTGGTAGGTTTGAGACATGGAGAACTATATCTTTCTAAAGCTTCCTCTAGTTCTGGGATTTGTTGCAGTGATGAGAATCTGCAGTCAACTTCTGGTGATATGGTATCCAAATATAAAGGGACAAGTCTAGAACAGTTCATCAATTCAAGGAATATGGGTCTCTCAGAATTGTCACCCATGGATGAAATGGAAGGAGAAATCATATTTTACCAACACAAGCTATTATCTGATGCTGCAGAAAAAAAATCCCTTGCTGGTCTCTTCTTTATCCTCTTGAAATTAGTTTAACTGACATTTATTTCTATATTGTTCTGTTTTTTACTTTAAGGGTTTCTGAAGAGTGTACACATCATTGGTCATCATTTTTATTTGCTACTTGTTTGTGTTGAGAACTAATGATGATGCTTATATGGTTACTGCATGCAGATAATTTGATCGGCAAAGTTGTACGAAGCCTCCAACTGGAGATTGATGCTGCTAGAAACCAAGAATGGGATACCGTTTTAGTTAGTAAGTATCTTCAAGAACTTAGAGAAGCAAAAAAACAAGGAAGGAAAGAAAGGCGGCATAAAGAAGCTCAGGCTGTGCTGGCTGCTGCAACTGCTGCTGCTGCTTCATCGTCTAGGATTTCATCATTGAGGAAAGATAATCCTGAAGAAGCCATTTATCAGGAGGTCACCTCATCATAGTTTTGATTGTGATGATGGAAGCAACTTTTTTTTACTTCCCATGCTTTCTATTTATCCGTCTTAATGTTATTAGCTTACTTTCGTGCAGGACCCATCAAACTTGTCTACTTCCAATCATATGCACCAGCAAAATCCTTGTGCTAAAGATTCAAGCTGCGCGCAGGTCATGTCTGAAAGAATATTTGATCCCCTCCAGTCAGGCTCAGATTTTTCCAAAGACCATCCTAGAACTTGTGATGTTTGTGGGCGGTCTGAGACTATTCTAAATTCGATCCTCGTTTGTTCCGGGTGTAAGGTACTGCGACCTAGATGCAACTTGACATTATTTCGTATCTTGATATTGTACATACTTTTTTGCTTGCGAGGTTAACTACATTCCATTTTACATCCTCAGGTTTCCGTACACTTGGACTGTTATCGCAGTGTCAGAAACTCAGCAGGCCCATGGTATTGTGAACTATGTGATGATAGATTATTGCGTGAGGAATTAGGAACTCCAGCAGCTGATTTATCGGAAAAGCAGAAATCTTGTTTTCTTGCAGAATGTGGTTTATGTGGTGGTACTACTGGTGCTTTTAGAAAGTCGACCGATGGTCAATGGGTCCATGCTCTCTGTGCTGAAGTAAAACAATTTTTATCCAAAAGTTGCTCTGCATTTTCTTTTTCTTCCCTTTTTCTCCTCCCATAATGCCGTATAATTTAATGCATGTCACAGTGGGTGTTGGGCTCTGCAGTCAGGATAGGGCTAGTGAGTTCAATTGAGGGAACGGTATGTGCATTTCCAGAATGAAGTTATTTTGTTCAACGATTAGAAAATGTTATTCGTTACCAAACCTTTCTATTAAAATTTGCAATTAGTTTTTTTATCTATTACTTTAAGGCATATCTCAAATAATCTTTTAATGGTTTGCAACTCTGTGCAATTGCAGTCAATGGGTCGTAAGGTGAGTGACGCTTGCCTTATCTGCCATCGTAAACATGGGGTGTGCGTCAAGGTAAACATTTTTGAAGCTCTCTTTAGGGGATATACATATTTTTTGAGTTCTATTTTTTTCCATTGTTGATTTGCTCTCTTTTTTCCTATTTTATAAAACAGTGCAGCTACGGTCACTGTCGAAGCACCTTCCATCCTTACTGTGCTAGGAGTGCAGGCTTATTCATGGCTGTAAAGACGGTCGGCGGGAAGCTGATCCACAAAGCTTACTGTGCCAAACATAGCATAGATCAGAGACTAAAGGTTGATGCTTTTCTATATTCGGAGTTTCTATATATATGGTGCTCTTATACCTGATGTATGAATCCATGTAGGCTGATACACAAAAACTTGGGGCAGAAGAGTTACAGCGTCTAAGGCACATCAGGGTGAGTGATCCAATGCCCCTTTTAATTTATTTTGGAAATAAAACAAGTGATTATAGTTTCAAGTTTGTTTCCTTCCATCTGGTATTTGGTGGGGTCATGAGTGGACAAATTTAGAAAGTCAGCGATGATGGTTGTGCTTATCTGTCTATCAATTTTATATGTAAGGGGGGAGGAATGTAGTTTGGGCCTAGAGAAGAAATCAAACATATATTTATGTAATGCTTTCCTGCTATTTTATTGATATTGTTTTGATTTCAGTGTCAATAGTATGATCTATTTACTGATGTAGATTCTATTTATGATATAGTTGAACTGATATTCTTCTATGCAGGTTGACTTGGAGAAAATACGCTTGCTTTGCGAAAGAATAATAAAAAGAGAAAAAATGAAAGTAAGCATTCACTATTTTTATTCATCGACATTTTCATTAGGTTCGTCTCTGCATGAATGTATATCAGCAGTGAATTTCCTTCTCAATGTAGAGATTTTACCGTGAATGAACTAGTGTGCCGGGTATCCTTGTATAGTGGTGCTGGGTTGTATTCTATGGTTACTATGAGCATGATGATTGATGGCAGGTATTGATTGTAATTTTTTTCTATGTTTCAGCGTGAAATGGTGTTTTGTTCACATGAGGTTCTTGCCTCCAAGAGAGATACAGTTGTTTTATCCGCCCTGTCTCGTCGTCCTTTCTCTCAAAGTTCAGATTCAGCCACTACTACATCTCTGAGAGGGTACACTGATGGATGTAAATCTGGAAGTGAAACTGTTCAGAAGTCAGATGACTTCACTGTTGATAGTGCAATTGCTGGTAAACGAGGAGGTAAGTTCCCTGTGTCGATGGATAATAAGGACCAAAAGACCGATGAGAGTCCTGCATCTCCAATCTTGTTGACGCACAAACCTGCAGAGAGAATAACCTTGTCCGGTAAGCAAATTCCGATGAGACATATTTCATCCAGGGATCCCTCAGATGACGAGGACAAAAGGTTAACTTATAGAAAGGTAGTTGTTTCATTCTCACTCCCCAATAAGTTCTGTTTCAACAACGTTTTTTGTCCCTACTCCCCCAAAAAAGGAGGTCTGTTTCAAAAGTTAGCTTTCATCTTTAAGTAAAATAAAATTCATTTAAAAGCAGGTTACAAGCATGTTTAGTTAGTGACTCCATAAAATCATGGAAATAACTTTAGGACTACAAGTCACCACTCATAACATGGAAACACCTATTGCCTTGATTGAGTTGATTAAAAAAAGTTATACATTAACGAAACTTGATTTTTTTCCTGTGATGAAGGAAATTATTATTTTGAACTCTTCTTCTCTGTGTGTTTTGTCTAACAACTTGAAATTTACTTTGATGATGATAACACAGCCCGCGGAAACTTTTCATAAAGAGATGATAATGACGTCTGATCAAGCATCTATGAAGAATCAGCGGTTGCCAAAAGGGTATGTCTATGTTCCCCTTCAGCAACTTCCAAAGGAGGAAGATGTTCCAGACACGTCTTCTGAGGAACCACCCCCCACGGAACATACAGATAGGTAAGTTGCTTCTGTTTTAGAACAACAGAAATCCTCCTGACCCCGATGAACAGCATCCCCATCTCCAGTGGGTCATGTGTGACCATCTGGGGAACAAAAGCCACTGGGATGATTTATGGCCATGTTGAGCACACTGCATTATACACCCCATGGAGGTTCTGATCATTATTTGTATAATTATCCATGATTTCGAGCTTATTTGAATAGCTCACCAGGTGGGTTGTTCGTTTGTGTATGGTATGCAGCATGTAATTTGTATACACCAGTTAGAAGGGTAGTAGCAAGCCATGTAAAGTCAATGTATATACCCCCACAATTCTAACTAACCATCATAGTAGTGCAGAAATCAGATTGTAGAGTTGTAATTTGTTCATTGTTAAATTTAGATTTGTAATTGTTGCTTTTGAATTTGCTATCTTGTATGTTGCATGTAGCAAACATGCTATGTATAAGAGAAGTTAGAAACCATATTGTGATTATCTGATTTTGAGAGTGTAACATCTGAATATCTGATTTATTGGCATCAATCAGTTTTTAAAGGTTTTCTACTTTTTCTTTGCGACTTGGCACCTTGCATAATACATAGTTAACATTTCTTCTCAATTTTTTACATGAGAAATGCCTGAGTGCCACTATATGTATGCCTATCTATAGGGGTGTGGGCGTCAGTCCTGGAACTGGATTGTGACAGGGACAGTAGAACATCCGGCTGGTTGTCCGTTTTCTGGTCTGAGAGCAGGACCGTCTAAACCTGACCTGGTTCCTCTGAAATAGGCCCGGATTTGACCGGATCCGTTTTTTATTTTGGGTTTTCCTATATTGCAAAATAGGCTAAAGAAACCAAACTGGATCTGGGACCACTACTACTTGTTAAACCTCCTTTGGATCCAGCTCCGGAACTGGTTTCAGAGTGGAACCTGTCCAACATACGATTGTGGTTCCAGAGACCTTGCCCAGAGCCCCAGACTGGTTCCCTTTCCAGTTACGGGGCTTTAATACTTCTTAGTTCTTAGGATAGGCAGTTCTGTTTTCTGAATTTCGGAATTGTGTATTTTATTATGGTAGAAAGTTGAACGACTGTTATTTCGGTTGTAATTATGTGTGAGACCTCCTTTGGACGTCAAGACTGTTGTTTCTGCTCTATACATACCACAACATTATATGTACTTGTTAATGATAGTCTCTTTTCCATGAGAGTGTTACTCAGAGTTGAGTTTCAATCACACGTCCATTTAAGAGCACCAGCTCTTCCTAGCAAAGGTCTTTCTTATAGCAAGGTCTTTATCCATATGCAGATATGCTATACAAGTACATTCTTGTTTTCCCTCTTTCACTTATTTTTGTTAGGTTTTCCAAACACTGGAACCAATCTTGTCTTTACTTCATTTTGCATTACCAAAAAGTCTGTATAATTATGGATTTTCATACTGCTATTTCCCCTTCTACTTGTCTTTTTAAGTTTTATGTTTTCAATTACAAGGTTGAATTCTTATTATTTGTAATTACCGATTGTCTGCTTTTAAGTAGAGTAATGTTTTTCAATTCAAATGTTCAAGGGGGTATTTCACATTAATATACAACATCAACATCCAAGCTTTAATCCCAAAAGAATTTGGGGTTGGCTAACCTGAATCGATCTATGATATTGATGCCAAACAAAGAAGACGGAAAAGAAAGGGAAAACGTAAGATAAAACAGATAAAATAAAAATAAATAAATAAGAATATAAGAAAGATAAAAAATAGAAATATAAAAGAGCATAAAAAAGCTAGAACGTAAAAATAACATTAGAATATAAAAAGATAAAGAAGATAAACGATAAAGGAGAAGAGAGAGGAATGGTAGAAAAGGCATCAATCGTCCACACGGATGTGCGCCATCCACTTTGCTCTATCCAAAGTCATACTCTCATCCAACCTAGGCTTGGATTCGGGCCCAGGACCGGCCCGGTCTGGCGGTCCGGGATCGGGTGGAGACCCGAACCGAGGGAGGGAGGTGGGGTGGGCTCGAGTCAGGGAAAGGGCGACCCGGCCCGACCGGGTCAGGTCCAACGGTCACTTGATCAATTTTTTTTTTAAAAAAATCTGGGTTTGGGCCACAACTATCCGTTGGGGGTGGGCTGGGGACTACCCAAACGACTATATAGCCGTTGGGTGGGCTGGAGGGGGGGTTCGGGCGGTCTGGGGGGTGGGGTGGGGTAAGTTAATTGCAGTTCTTAGATATAAAAAACATTTTCCTGCTTTTATGAAACAATATGATAACTATATTATAAACTCGACTGAGATCGACACCTGCGAAAAAATTTGTAATGTTTTGGTATATTTTAATAATGCAACTGAAACTTTTAGTCATGTTTATAAATCTACCTCAAACCAATTTATTCGTGAAGCTGTTAATCTCACCAGTGCTTTTTCAAATTTTGAGAATGCCGATTATGTGAGTTATTTCGCTGGTTTTATGAAGAAAAAGTTTTTAAAATATTATTCACATATTCCGCATATTTATGGTATTTGCATTTGTTCTCGATCCTCGTTTTAGACTTGGTTCTTTAGAAGAATGTTTGAATTATTATTATGTTGTTTTTTTTGTCCAATGCCAATGTATGACGACAACTCGATTGATCCTAAAAAAGAATACAACGAGGTTAATGATATATTTTATGCATTATTTAATGAGTTTCATGCACAATATGGCAACACACCCCCTCCCCCGACACAAACCTCTTCATATAAAGGAAAATTAATTTTGGAATCTACATTTGCCAATCTTATCAAAATAACTAAAACAACAGCCGCTACTCAACAAAGCACAATTATGAGATTTCTTTGTATTTAACATATGATGTTGATTTTGAAGAAGATGATGACTTTGACGTTCTAAACTGTTGGAAGGGAAAAGAAAGAATGTTCCCGGTTTTAGCAAAGATGGTTAAGCAAGTGCTATCAATGCCGGTTTCAACAGTTGACGTCGAACAAGAATTTAGTTCGGCCGGCAATGTCCTAACGCAATGTAGAACGAGGTTGAGCGCATAATCTCTTGATATGCTTATATGCTACCACGATTGGGTGAAGGCGGTCCGTAGAGCTCAAGAAATTGACATCACCCCATCCCAACACTTTATGGATGAATCTACAACCGAGGTGGCTCTACATATTACGGAGATTCTGATTGATTAGTATTTCATATTTTAATTTTACCTTCAATTCTCAAATGTAATTTCATATTGTATTTTTTTCTTAATTGTCAAATGTAGTTCCTATTTTAGTTCAAATAAATGCACTTGAAGTTTGTTTTAATACTTGAATAACTTATAAAACTATAAAGTATATAAAAAATTTGATTTAATCGGCCCGGCCTGGCCCGACGGGGGGCCCGAACCGTGACTCGGGCGGGTGGCTCGGCACGAACTGGAACCGCCTTTACCTCAGGCCAGTCCTGGGCCCACCTTTCACAAACCGGCGGCCCGGCCATGCCCGACCCGGCCCGGCCCGAATCCATGCCTAATCCAACCCAAAAAGACGCATATCAGTTCTGATTTCTCTAATTCAAGTCTGTTTGGGTCTTCCCCTCCATCTCTTTTCTGCATCTTCTCCCTACTCCTCAAGTCGTCTAACAGGTGCATCACTCGGTCTTCTAAGCACATGCCCAAACCACCGCAAACGAGACTCCTGCATCTTATCTTATGTAGGTGTTACTCCCACATTTTGTCTGATTATCTCATTTCTCAAGCGGTCTTTTCTGGTATGTCCTCACATCCAAAGCAACATACGCATCTCTGCCACACTCATCTTTTGAATGTGGCATTGGCGCATTGCTTCACCGCCCAACACTATGCCATACATTAAAACAGACCTAATTGTTGTTCGATAAAATTTACCTTTCAGTCTAGTCGGCATACCTCGATCACATAGAAATCATGATGCACTCTTCCATTTCATTCATCGAGCTCTGATTCTATGTCATACATCTCCATCTAATTCACCATCCTTCTGAATTATGGAGTCCAAATAACGAAACATATCTACTTACCCTCAAGAGTAATCTCACCGTTGCAGTATTTCACATTAATATAAATGTTTTTAAATTAAACCTCTGTAAGTTATTACAGCACTGTTTCATTTTATTGTGTCGTAGAAAAATCCTTATGGTAATGTATTTGGTGTACTGTATATATATAATCAATTATACAAGTGACGCCTCAAGTTATAAAAGTAATTGAAAAATATTATAAATCTGAAACAATAAATACTGACAGTCCATATTTATCCCGGCCAATTAGACTAATTAAGTTGTACTTGGTTTCTAGTTTTTCGTTACCTGTTTTTTAAACTAAAAACTCATTGATGCAGATAAAACGTAGTTTCAGTTTTTTTGTTAGAATTTTTCGAAATATGGTTAGTGTTAAGACTGTATATAACATATACTTGTAAGTTTTACCTATTAGAAGTTTAGAACCATACAAAAACCAAGGGGCCTAAGCTAATTGCGAGTCGCTAGCTGGTAAATTATACTCCCTCCGTCCCGTTGGAATGTCCGCTTTCCTTTTTTGGATGTCCCTTTGAAAAGTTCTCATTTCACTAAATGGAAAGTTATCCTACATCAAAACAAGGTCAAACAGTGCAAAACAGTGTCAAACGGTGTCGAAACAGTGCCAAACAGTGTCAAAACAGTAAAATTTACACTCTGATAAGTTTATTTCCTTAACATGTGTGTAGGCCAAACCGGGAACATTCCAACGGGACGAAGGAAGTATAGTACACTCGGCATTTTTGTAATTAACTCCAAGTTATAGCCTTATAGTTAAGTTGTTGCTCCCCGCTTTCTTGTTTTTCCGTCGATTCTTTTCTTTCTTTCCCCCTCCTCTTTCTTTCTCCCCCTCCGTTTCAGGAATCGGTATATTATACAACCGATTGTATGATGCTCACCGTACAACCAGGTAATTTTATAATTTGTTTCAACTTTAAGCTCATTTAATACTAAGCATCTTTCAACTAACCTAACTACGTACGTACTTCCTGCTCTACTTAACGAATTAACATGATCGTCTCCAACTAACCTAACTACGTACTTCTTTTTCTTTTTCTAAATTAGATGGTGTATCTAAATTGAATCGTTTTCATTCCAAAAATCTTAGACGGGATACAATTTGATGTAAAACATCTATCTTCCTTCCTCTCATTAGTAATGTTTCAATTTTTCTAAATGGACTTTTTATGAATACACATGAACTATTTGAAAAAGTTTCAAAGTAAATGTTAACTTTTTATATGGAATATTTTATTATTTGTTGCCCTTGTATACAATGTTGACATATTTTCTAATCCACTTTCTTTTTCTTATTTTTTTCTTTGATAAAAACTTATTAAATTGTATCTATAACCAACTTCTATAAACTTCTATTTGCGAATTTAATGTAATATTTTCCATTTTCTCTTCCAGATTTACCAGCCACCGAGAAGGAAAAAAAGATAACCAAACAAGAATTTCTTATATAAAAGCAACAAAATAATTGAAGTATTCCGGATTTACCA